GAGTCACCATTTAGCTGTCTGATCCCATGTGGAGCCAGGCAGGGCAGCCAGTCTGCAGAGGGGCAACTGCTGGGGCATTCAGCATCCGAGAGGCTACATGGGAACAGTGGGGTGGGTTTGAGAAGAGTCTAAAGAGAAGCCAAGACAAGCCACTCCCCACTCCAGGTACAGAAGAGGCAGGCATGTCCCCCCACCCCCATCCCCCAGGCCTGATAGGGAACCCCAGCCTAAAGCCATCTATAGCCATGTGCTAACGCTCAGAGTATGAGGGACAGAGGCAGCCACACCTATCAGTACTTTGGGTGTGGCCCCAAAGAAAGAGTGGTTAGAAAAAGAGGTTTACTCTGCCTCTGGGAGCTTCGCAGGAGCTCTGAGACATCCAGCATGGGCACTCAGGAGCCTCCAGCCTGCTCACTGTAACTGAGCACCTCCCTATGTGGAGGGCATTTCCCACCGAGCCACACAACACCTCTGCTGAGTTTCCTTCACTCTTCCAGGGTCCCCAGAGTCTCAGCTCGGTGACTGAGACTCCCAAGGGGCTGGTGGGGGACAGAGCAGGTTTAAATCAAAGACAGTTCATGGAGTGCAGCAATGGGGTGGGATGGGGACAAACATGGGCAGGGCCCCAGCAGTCTGGGTGGGTTTGTGTGTGGCTTCCTAGCAGGTGTCAACCTTGCTCAACTGGTACATGGGGAAGGTGCAGTTGGGCCAGAAACCAGTGCCAGGCCCCCAGCTCCACCCTCAGTGGGGAGATGGGAAGTAGGGAAGACACTGGCTGCTCTGTGCTAGGTTCTAACAGCCCACAGCCCCCAAGATACTGGAACTGCTGAGAAGATGTGGCATGCAGCAAAGCAGGGGTGGGGGTGGGGGCGGATACCTCAGTGGCCAGAAGTCAGGGAGGGATCATACCTGCAGAGAACAGGGTTTATCTCTGGAAGGCAGAGCTGTGGCAGCAGAGGGGTGCCTCAGCCCTGCCCAGGTCCCCGGCCAGAAGTCAGGGAGGGATCATACCTGCAGAGAACAGGGTTTATCTCCGGAAGGCAGAGCTGTGGCAGCAGAGGGGTGCCTCAGCCCTGCCCAGGTCCCAGCCTCAGGCCCCTTGGAGAGAAGAGCTGCACAAGCCCTCTGAAAACCATTTGTGTGCCCCCTACGGGGAACTAATCCACCACAGCTTTCCCCAGCAAACCTCAACTGGCCTGTGACATGCAGGCTCTGGCTCTGCCCACCTGGAAGGGGGAAAGGACGGCCAAGCCGAGCAACCCCTACCACACTTGTTAACTCTCTACAGAGGTCCACAGCCCCATCAGGCAGCGGGCAGTGGGTTTGTCCCCACCTAAGCAGGCTGGCAGAGAGGGAGGCATGGGAGCCCCATTAGAAGCGGGCAGTGGGTTTGTCCCCACCTAAGCAGGCTGGCAGAGAGGGAGGCATGGGAGCCCCATTAGAAGCCTCCTTCTGCTTAGCAGGTATGGTTCAGCCCTCAGGGTTGGAGCTGATCTCAGCCCCTCAGTCTCACTTGTCCCTCCCCTGGAACCTGTCTTCTTCGTAACTGGTACCCTGTCTTTGAGCACCTACTGCAAACATAAGGCACATTAGTGCAACCTCCCCCAAAAGACCTTGTTTTGACTCCCTTACAAATGAGGGAAGTCCAAGGGCACCTTGTGTGCCCAGGCTTGGGTGGGACATGCATGGCAAGCCGGCAAGGATGAACTCTTCAATGTTGGTGGCCCCCTGCCCTCTGACCCTGAACCCCATACAGCAGGCTCTGTCCCTAAGTCTTGCCCCCCTTTCTCAGTCCACACTGGATATAACCAGACCAAGTAGACCTGGGTTGGTGGAGAACACTGAGTTTTCCAGCCCCAGCATAGATTCCAGGCCCTGACCCCTATTTCCATGTCCAATACTGCCAAGGCAGGACACTGGCCCCCTATCCTCTGGGCTTGGACTTAGCTGTCCCCAGCCATGGGGTCTGCTGTACCTTAGACAGGCATAGATCTCCTGACAGCAGGTGGGAGGAATCAGGGTCATACCTCACAAGACCCAGGCTGGTGGGCAGGCCTGCTTCTCCTCGCTCTGACTTCTAGAGCAGGGCCTCTTCACCCAGCTATGGGAGGCCTTAGTGACCATTTAACAGAGGAGGATGGTGATGCTCACTGGCCAGCCCAGGTCCTGGGGAAGGAAGTGGCTGTCAGACAAAACTCTGTGACCTGCTTGCTCATAACATTCCCCTTCCCTCAAGGGCCAGGTCTGTGCCTTCCCTCCCAAGGCTGGCATCCCAGCTGGGGTGAGGCTATCCCAGGACAGATACTGTCCAAAGACTCCCTTCCACGAGCAACAAGGGGGTCTGGAAAAGCACAGGAGTTCCTGTCCTCAGAGCCAATTGAGTAGCCACCCCCCAACCCCAAGACAGTGGTTGCTTAATGATGCTATGAGGATTTTAGTCGCAGAGAGGAGGTTGGAACTAGGGGCTGCTTGAGGGGGTGAGTACCAGGGGTAGGGGTTATAATGGGGACAGAAGAAGCTGACTCAGAAGGAAAAAGAAGGAGGTGGGGACAGGGCATCCAGTGTGAGGTCTCAGCTGTGGCCAGAACCAGAATTCCATGAGCAAGCAGGTCCAGAGCGCGGCACAATCACTATGTAACTGGGATCAGGGATCACTGTGCAGCCATGAGTGTGTCCAGGAGTGTGTGACCATATCCTGGCTCCAAACAACCTGGGTTAGGGCTCAGAATGTGATAAGGATTGGACTTATCGTGTTACTGGAATTAAGGATCAGGATGTGACAAGGATCAGGGTTCAGTGTGCGGCTAGGCTTCAGCTTAAAGTGTGACAGAGATAGACTCTTACTGTGTTTCTGGATGGAGGATCCATATGTGCAAAATCAGGGCTCAGGATGTAACTAGGATCAGGGTTAGGTAAGAGATGGGGCTCATTGTGTTTATGGGTTTGGGGATCAGTGTGTGACCAGGATCAGGGCTCAGTGCTTGACTAGGGTTGGCCTCAGAGTGTTACAAGGATCAGGGCTCGGCGTCTGATAGGGTCGAGGTTCAGTCCATGAGCAGGCTCTAGACTCAGAGTATGACAGGGATCAAGGTCTGTTACTGGAATCATGGCTCAGTGAAAATTTTGAGGATTTACTATGATACTAAAATCAGGGCTCAGCTTTATTCAAGGTGAGGGCTCAGAATCTTGGGGCCAAGCATTGAGTCTCCCTCAGTCCTCACCTACCTGGACTCTGGAATGTTCTGAACATCCTGCCCCACAACAGCTCCAGAGGCCTCAATGCCCCACTGTGCTGCTATGTCCCCAAAACCTCAATAGTATAGCTGATGACCACAGGATATTGGCCCTAGGGAGCTCCCAGGGAGGCAGGACCCCTAGAGCTGGCATCACCTTGGGACTGGCTCCCAGAGGAAGCATGCTGTAATGTTTATAGCTTGTGTCTGATCGTGACACTCATCCAGGCCCAGTGCAGACAGAGCCTGGGGAAGAGAATCCACAGAGATTAGTCGCCCACAGTCCTAGCCAGCTCTGGTGCCTCCTGAGTCTTTTCCTCCAGCATATTCTCAGTTGTAGAGCAGGAATCCATTAGGCGGCATCCCTCTCCTTCCTAGGGACCTTCAGTGTCCCTGCACCTGAGGTCCAGTCCACAGCCTTGAGGTGCCAGGCTCTTGGCCACAGAACATCCCTCATGCCCACAGAACGTACTTCCTTCTCTCTGCCCCATGTCTTGGAGCCCATCAAGCCATAGGAAGGGGTCAGGGGAGGGGACCCTGTGGCCTAGGCAACACAGAGCACCTCCCTGCAGCCTCAGAGGGTGATGGATGTCCAAGGCACAAGTATCTAGTACAGGAAGCATACTGGGTGACCTCAGCAGGCAGTGACCACTCTGAGCCAGACCTGACCCTTCAAAGGCAAAGCTGAGTGCACCCCAGCAGGCCAGGCATTGGACCCCATCTCCTGGGAGGCAGGGCTCAGTGGCTTCTTCCCGGGTGGGGTGGCCAGAGAGAGCCTGCTGCCCAAGGCCACACAGCCAGGTACTGGGAGTGGACAGTGCCCAGCCTGTTTACGGCTGCCAGCCACCACGAGGGACACAGGGAGCCAGGCTGTGGGCGGGTGTGGGGCACTGTGCACCAGCAATGTCCCATGTCCCGCCTTCCTTTCCACCTCGCCCCAGAGGCTCCTTTCTCCTGAAAAACCCAGAAATATCCATATTTGGAGGGTCAGCCGGCTGGGGTGGGGGTAGGATCCCGTTAACCCTTCCTGTATAAATAAAGGGATAAATCAGAGTGGCGTTAAACATGCTTAGCAGAAACATAAACAGTGGGGAGGCTGCAGCCCAGCCCCCTGCCCGCCCCACGCCACCCTGCCTGGAGCCCCGTGTTTGTTTAACTCACACCGAAGGCCACGCAGCTAGGCGAGCTCTAGCTCACAACACCCATCCAGCCTGCTGAGCACCCTGTTCCCCTTGGGGGAAGTCCATAATGTTGACTGGAGCTGGCCTAAGAGGCAGTAAGGACTTACTGGAGCCCAAGGCTGAGGATTTGACCAGGGCTGTGGGACACTGGTGGGACAAACAGCTTCCAGGTCCCAGGTGGGCCAGGTTCTGTTCCAGCAGAGCTGATTCATCAGTCACCAGCTTTGTGCCAGACCAGCTTAGGTAATGCTCCCAGAGGCAGTGGGATCCCAGTGGCATGGGGTAGGAAAGAAGGCACAGAGTGGTCAAGGGACTTGCCTGAGGAGGCACAGCTAGGAAGCACAAGGACTAGACCTGAGACTACATAGCAACCCTGTCTTTTGTCTTTTCTCTGGAGTCCAAGGACAGTCCTCCATGCAAATATTTGCCTGTCCAGCAAGATGGTCTCAGAAACCTCAACATTTTGCTCCATGCACCCAGAGTGCGTGAGTGGAACAGAGTCAGAAGAAAGCACTGGTAGGGGATGCCAGAAACCTCGGGTAATTCATGTGCTTGCTTCCAGGCCAGGGCTGCACCGGCCACTGCCATGCCCTCTACGTCCCCTACATGGCCCTGGGCTGCTATGCCCTCTAACGCCACATCCACAGTGTGGACCAATGCAAGCGTGCCAGACATGCCCCTGTTCCACCTGTTTGCCCGGCTGGATGAGGAGCTGCACACAGCCTTCCCCAGCCTGTGGCTGGCGCTGATGGCCGTGCATGGCACCATCTTCCTGGTGGGGCTGGTGCTCAATGGACTGGCACTGTACGTCTTCTGCTGCCGCACACGGGTCAAGACACCGTCAGTCACCTACACCATCAACCTAGTGGTGACTGACCTGCTGGTGGGCCTGTCCCTACCTACGCGTTTCGCGGTCTTCTATGGAGCTCGCGGCTGCCAGAGCTGCGCCTTCCCCCATGTCCTGGGCTACTTCCTCAACATGCATTGTTCCATCCTCTTCCTCACCTGCATCTGCGTGGACCGCTACCTGGCTATCGTGCAGCCCGAGGGTTCGCGTCGCTGGCGCCAGCCAGCCTGCGCCAGGGCGGTGTGTGCCTTCGTGTGGCTGGCGGCTGGCGTGGTGACCCTGTCCGTGCTGGGCGTGACAGCCGGTGGGCGGCCGTGCTGCCGCGTCTTTGCACTGACCGTCCTGGAGTTCTTGCTACCACTGATGGTCATCAGTGTGTTCACGGGCCGCATCGTTTGTGCACTGTCACGGCCTGGCCTGCTGCGCCAGGGCCGCCAGAGGCGCATGCGGGCCATGCAGCTGCTGCTCACCGTGCTGGTTATCTTCCTGGTCTGCTTCACACCCTTCCATGCCCGCCAGGTGGCTGTGGCACTGTGGCCCGGTGTGCCGCCCCACGCAAGCCTTGTGGCCTACCATGTGGCTGTGACCCTCAGCAGCCTCAACAGCTGCATGGACCCCATCGTCTACTGCTTTGTCACCAGTGGCTTCCAGGCCACTGTCCGTGGCCTCTTCCACCGTGGTGGAGAATTTGAGCCCAGCAATGTGGACACAATCAGCACGCACAAGAGCACCAAGGGCTCAGGCCCCCGTCACATCCTCAGTGCCAGCCCTCGAACCCTCACCCAGCCTCTGACCAATGGGCCTGAGCCATAGACAGCAGCACTCTGCAGGAGCCAAAGCTCAGGGCTCAGCTGGGACACCATTGGGCCGGCAAGCTGGTGTCCTACCTACTGATCCGTTGGAGATGGCTGCCCAGTGCATGGCTTTCACATGCTGAGACCATGTGCTGTGGTTGATTAGCAATGTCTGCCAAGAGCTCCAGGTGGGCTATGAATCCCATGGTGTGAATCCTGGTTACTTGCTTTTCCCCTGGCTTGATGATGATGGCTGAAAACTCAGAAAGGTAGCCAGGAACCACCCCTCACCTGAGTTTTGTTCCCCAAAAAGCTCTTCCGAAAAAAACCCAAAACAAAGATTATGTCCTGGGGATTCCTGAGCGGGTTAAAGACAACCTGGAAAGCCCCCACCACACAAAAACAGAGATGCAAGAACAGAGTGTCAATGTCAGGGGATGGAAGTGTTGCCTACAGGGAGGGGAGGTGCCCCCTGGGCATCTGTGAACTGCAGCACAGGCCAGCACAACCCAATGTGGCCCACTATGTGCCAGGACTTGGGTATCTGGCTGACACTTGAACTACTGCGAACCTGATGGCTGGGTTTTGTCCATTTCTTGGTGCTGAGGGGAAGGTGACACAGATGTCACCACCGGACAATGGCAGGGTCAGAATCAAGACCCAGCCCCACAGTCTCCAACATTCCAGCTCCTGCCTCCATGACTACTGCCCAGAGTCTCCCAAAGATGTGAACAGCAATGTACCAAAGCCCCACCCTACCACCCCAGAGTCGGCAAGCCCGCAGCCCTGTCTCGTGGATGAGGAGCCAAGAACAAAGAACAAGGAGCCTCGAGCCAAGGCCTCTGTGTCTCCCGTGCCCTCCTCTCAGGGGCCATAAGGGAGCGACCCCGCTGCTCAGGCCTGTCGCACATCTCACCTTCCTGTTGGGCTGGCCTTGCTGATCACCATCTGTGAGCTGGACTCCAGGGTGACTTCCACATGCTTCTGTCAAGTTCTAGTCCCCTGGTGTTTAGGAAGGGTGGTGGACAAGTGACACTGGGTCAAACCCATGAGGAGGTGAGATGGTCTACTGAGCAGTCTCCATGCTTTGGGGACCTGGAGCCTGGCAGCTGAGAGTAGGAGGCAGTTGAGGGGAGGGGATGTGCAAAGAGTTCCCCACTGACTTCAGGCAGGGCCCCCATCTCCAAGCGCAGGGGGCTGTGTGGGCCCCACTTTACAGCAGAGTCTGGACTTGGATGTAGCTCACTGCAGGAGGCTCCAATCAATCCTTAGTGCACAGAACAAAAGTGGGCAAAGAGTCTGAGGTCATGGGGTGGGGGTGCGCAAATAATCTTTGACCAGTTTTGTCCCCACTGATCCCGGCTGGAACTCCCAGGACTTCATGGGGCCAATGGGGTCAGGGGACATTGGCTGTCATCTACTTGGATACCCCACAGTCCAGGCATCAAAGCCATACCCCTCCCTGGGGCTGTTTCCTGTCTGTAACCCTGAGCAGCAGGGGGCAGAATCATGGGTGGGCTCCTGCTCTCCTGACCACCACATCCCTGACCCTCACTGGAGGCTTCTGCTGTACCTTGTGCTAGGATCCCTGCCCCAAGAGTCATACAGAACCAGAGACCCCAGACTCCACCCCAGGGGGACCCTCAAATCCCTGGAGGCTGTCCATAGGCTCCCCTGTGCCTCACCCAAGCCAGCTGTCCACACAACCTGAGGCATAATGCCACCTCTGACCTTGATTCCCTTCTGTACTATGAGGGCCACTGTGGGAGGGAGGCTGAGGTAGGACAACAGCCTGCCCCACTGGGAATCAGTGAGGGATGGGGAACTACACCAGCCCCTTTGCCTTCATGTGCGGGTCACGCCCCTCCCACCCCCACTCTTGCCACTGAGCTATGCCGTGCCAGCCCTCCAGCCACTGAGCTGTACCTTTTCCATCCCCACCAAAGCTCCCATCCTGATTCCCTGCTGGTTGTCACTCTAATTCACACTAGGCTTAGAGGTAGAGAGGTTGCAATTTTTCTGAGACAATCCTTTCTAGGAGAGGGGGTCTCTAAAGTGGATGAACTAAGCCCCTCCCCCCAATTCTAAAATCTCATCATCAGTCTCCGTTCCTTGGGGCCTTGAGGACTTCTCGGACTGTAAGTGCCTTTGGTTAGGGGATTTTGAGGGCCCAGGCAGGAGCCTGGCACTATTCACATCAAGAGGACTGGCTGCCTGTTTTCTGAGGTAAAGAACTGGTCATGGGACCATCCTCTCACCTCTAAGAACTCTCACAACCCCTTATACAGCATTATGGGGCCTCATTTTCCCCCACCCCACCCCAACTCCTCTCTCCTCATAGCTGGACGGCAGAGTTTGGGGGTACAGCATCTGTCTCAGGATTCTTGTCTGGCCTCCTAGGGTGGGACAGGGCATGGCTATGGGCCTGACAGGTCTCCCCACTTCAGAGATAGTACAGCTAGGGGTTACCCAGGAGGGCTCTGCTCGGTGCCCCGGTACCCAGGCTATGAGATCTCCATGTCCTGTCTGTCCTTCCTCCCGGATTTTCAAAATGCCGCATGACGTGAAATGTGTATTTATATCCGATGTAAACAGCGTCCTTCACCAGAAGTCCTCGTCCTAAATTAACACTGTTTATTCCCTCGGTGCCCAGCTCTGCTCTCGGCTGGCAGGCAGAGGATGGCAGGGGCACCCAGCCGAAAGGGATCTATGTAGCCCTCCCTCTCCCTCTGTGTAACACATTTTGAGGGTACACAGAGGCAGGTAGGAAGCTAGATGCCCATGGCATCTCAACAGATCCCAAAGTTGTGATCTAGAGTCAGGAGGGTGGGCATTAGCCCATCTGTGGGCCTACTAAGTGCCTGGAAGCTGTCCTCTCTCTGGAAGGGAGGTAAGGGTATCCCCCTCACTTTATTGAGACACTGCACCCGTGGGTTGGCTCTGGAGGACTCCACCTGGGCTCTGGCACCCTGCTTTACCTCTTTCACAGCCTCAGCCCACAAAGACACAGAGGGGACAGGACCGGGTGCAGGGAGGGATGCTGGGCTGCTCAGAGCTCATCATTCTTCCTGTCTGGCACCCTCGGGCGGCCGGAGGCGTCTAGAGGTAAATATTAGGGCCTGTTTAGATTAACCGCCATTAATAGCAGGAAATGTCACCTCAGGCGCCTGCCCTGGCTTCCTGGAGGCCTGAGGGGGTGCTGGGCTGGCTGGAACTGTTGTCCAGTGAAGGACTGGACATATGAATTCCAGGAGGGGATCCTCTGCCCCATGCTCCTAAGCTCAAGGCCACCTTCTGGTCTGGGGAGGCCCTGTACATCACTGCTCCCTGCACCCTACGGCTCCCTGTGCCCCATTCCCACCCCACCGAGGGCGCTCCTCTGGCAGGGGTGTGACCACATGAACGTGAGGGGAGCCGTCAAGAAGACACCCCCGTGGCTGGTCGTGGCTCATAGCACACACCCTCTGTGTGGGGTATACAGTTCTCAGAGGAGAAAAATGAGGCTTGATGAAGCCAGCATTCCCCAGTGCCACCCAAAGGCAGGGCGGATCTTTCCACACAGACCATGTCCCATCCTGGACCCCACATACACAGGACCCACAGAGAGTGGGTCGTGGAGGCAATGAGCAACCACCTGAATGCCAGCAAGGGTCACAGGGCCTCGGCACGTGAGCCAGACAGCTCACTTCCACAGGGCTGGCCCTGTGACAAGCAGTAAAAGCCAGGTCACAGGAGGGCTTCGTGGCACACGGGAAGGTCCGTGGCCCTAGCTTCCCCCTCTGGACCCCAGTTTCTTCATCTACAATCAGAACTTAAATCTACTGGCTCCTACCCCTGGCATGCGGGGGCACCTCCAGTATGTCACTCCTACCCCCTGGCATGTGGGGGCACCTCCAGTATGTCCAGCCTGCCACCCCTTCTGTTCACCACCTGGTGTCAGACCTCATCTGAGTCTGAAGTGAAAAACACTATCAGCCACTGAAGCCTCTGGTACCCACTCCTGCTGCCCCTTGGCCCCCTGGGGATACAGTTGCTCAGGTTATGGGGTTAGTGCATCCTCACCCCAGGTGGAGGTTCAATCCATCACAAACCAAGGACACCAGTAAGCATAAACTGAGCAGAGGTAGGCAGAGATGCAATACCACATGCCTTGTACTGAGCCATCTGTCCATGGCCACAGTGGGCTCACTACTCCAAGAACACAGTAGTACTGCATTTTACATGGATGGAATCCACAAACCAATAGTCCCCAAGGGACCCTGTGGGACAGAATGGTCATCAGAGCCTACTGAACTGGGATGGGGGCTCCAAGAGGCTGGGGTCACCAACCTCCTGCTTCTTGCCCACTGCCCACTCAAAGTCTATGCTCTCTTGGTGGCAGTGCCCTTGGGACTACCACAAGGCTTCAGTTTCAAACTCTTTTGGTTCTCCACAAAGAAGTGGGCAGTCTCAGAGTCGGGGAGCAGGGGCCAGGTCCCGGAGGCTTGATATAACAGGCAGCCTGGGGCTGCCACCTCCCACCCCCACACATAGCAGAACCTCCAAACCTGGGGCGATGGCATGCAGAGAGCCTCCCCACCTCTGGCCCATGATGCCAAGCTCTTGGAGGGGAGCCTGGGCGTGAGTGTCCCACCCCATCCTTAGGCCACACTCTCTCTTAAAGTGAGGTTATGAGAACTAAGTGAGGGTATGTGGCCAAGGCAGGAGGACCACTGTGAGTTCAGGGCCAGTGTGGGCTTCATAGTAAGAGCCTGTCTCAACAAACAAAAAGTGTCTATGTGTGTGTAGGTACATGTGTATATATGAATCTGGGCATGTGTATATGGACACATGTGTGTCTTTGAGTATTTGTATGTGTGTATAAGTGAGGCTGGGCATATGTGTGTGTGTAAGTGTATGAGGGCGTGTAGGTATATATCTGTGAGTTTGAGGATATATATACATGAATGTGAGTCTTCATGCATGTGTCTATGTGTATATGCATGTATGTATGGGTGTGAAGATATATGTATGTACATG